GTTCATGCGTCTGTCTGTGCGTGCGTCTGTCTGTCTGTGCATGCGTCTGTGCGTTCCTCTCTCTGTGCGTGCGTCTGTCAGTGCGTGCGTCTGTCAGTGCATGAGTCTGTCAGTGCATGCATGCGTCTGTCAGTGCGTGCGTGCGTCTGTCTGAGCGTGGGTATAACATTTATCCTATCATGTCAGCTTCCAAAATAAGTATGGAGTATGTTATCATAAGTATTGTGTATTGTACATTGTATATTGTACATGTGTGTTTAATAAGTGAGCACATAGAGTTAATTGATGTTGGCAGTTTATGCAGCCATTATAGCTAGTGAAACCTATTCATCTGACCCACAACCAGTGCTTCGGTATGCGAACAATATGGAAAGCTGTGTGTTCTATGTACGCATGGTGTGCAAATTGTGATGGGATTTGCTCATGACAACAGATGGGCACGTAATATCCTGCTATCAAAAATAATTTAACCCATTTAGTATCAAGTATAGCCAGAAGTTTACAACCTACATTTTTAAACATATATGGTAATATTTAGTTAGCATGGTATGTATTTCCAATCCACATTCATTATTTTGGTAGACGAACATTGTGGATAGCTGTGCATACTGGGGATTTAGGGGGAATGATTGTAGTAAGTGCACATGACAACTAGTGAGCACTTGGAGTCCCGCTATCTAAACATGTTAACCCATTTAACAACAAATTAACATTAAACTTAGCAAATATAGTTTCAACATGTATGGTAAGATTCAAAACAAAGGATATAGGTCGCATGAAATTCTCGTAATGATGTAAGACATATCTCCAGGTTATGGTGAGATCTGGAGTGTTAGGGCTTTTTGTTTGGCGATTTCACCATCTGCCATTTTCCTTGAATTTTCTTTGGTGAGAATTGCTTGGGTGAGGAGGTGATCCTGAGTCCGAAAAACCCCATTCAGACAGTGTCTTGATTCCTTCTTCTGGTTAATTGATAACCGATGTCTTCCCTTGTCTCCAGATTAGTAGCTTGGTAGGATATCCCCATTTATATGAGATGTTATGATTCCGGAGAGTTTTATTAATGTTGATAAATTCATGGCATCTCGCCACCGTGGCGCTGAGAGGTCGACAAACAAGTTGATATGTTAATAGGGAGCTGGAAGAGATGTAAGTTTCCTAGCCATTGTAAGTAATGCATCTTTGTGTATAAAATAGTGGAAACTTACTATTACATCTTTCGGCGTATCTGCTTTTAATCTTGCTGTTCAAGGAAGTCTGTGCATGCGGTCGAAGGCCCACGTGGAGTCAGGTAGTTCCGGTACCAGTGCCAGAATATATCTGGGAAGGGTGTCGTGGGAGATATCGTCAGCTATGCCCCTAAACCTGTCATTCTGCCGCCGGGATCTGTCCTCCATATCTGCCATTTTATTGCGTAGGGCAACATTTTCTTCTGCTATTTTTTTAACTTTGTCCACCACTTCATTCTAGATGGTTATTTCTGTCTCCTAGTGCCGAGATCTCCTTACGTATTGCACCATCAATTTTCTGAAAATCCGCGTTGATCATGGCTCGTAGCTCTCGCAGCATTTTGTGGAGGCATCTTTCTATGACAGGCGTTTGAGTATTTTGAGCATTCAGACTCCTGATCAGATAAGCGATCCGAAATGGGAGGCATCGTGTCCTGCTTGTCGCCATCTTGAAATTTTTTATAGCGGCCTTTTTTCTTTTGGCGGACCAAGTCCATCAATTTCATTTGCTTTGATTCCTTCCACTATCAGGGGGTATTGTTGGTGTGTGATTTATGTCACTAGATCTGCTTTTTTGTCGCTATTCGGGTTTGCAAAGCTCGGAGTTCTTACTTCATGCATCCGTTCATGCTGGAAGTTGGACACACACACTAAATTGCATTATTTATTAAGAGAATATTATTATTATTATTATTGGTGTTATTTTACGAGCCGGTATAGGGGACCAACCCTGCAGTAGTGCTAGGGGCAGAACAAAATTTTGCACCCCCTATGTACCACCCCAAACCCCACCCTGTCCCTATAGTTGTATGGCTATGTCAACACATGTAAAGACTATGAATTACAACTTTTATGAAAAAACACTTCTTAATGCAATTTAAAAAAAATAAATTAGGTATGTTTTGTGTGTTTGAATGCATGTACGTATTTGTGTGTAGTGTTGCATTTGAATCCAGTTGTATGTTTATATGTTCTGTTGCTATTTGAAAGCAGTGGTATGTTGTGCTTAGTGTTTGAAACACTCATTGACAGACACTAATAGACACAATCACTGAGAGACACACAACCTCACTGATTTAAAACACAATCACTGACAGACACACACTCGCTAACATACATATTGACACATACTCACTGATTTGAAACATTTACTGACAGAGGCACACACCGACAGACATGCCCACTGACAGACAGACATACACATACTGACATACATTCAGATACACACACACACACTGACATACACACAGATACACATGGACAGACATACACATACACACACACATACACTGACAGGCACACTCACACATTTACCCATTCTTGCACACACACTCACATTTTTCTATTTATTTATTGTGGCTTTGATTTTTTAGGCCCATCCAGCATCCTTACCTTTTGGAGAGTTTGTGTAGGTCCTCTTCCTTAGATCCTGTGTGGATCTGATCCCTGGGGTTAAGTGGGGAATGGATCTTCTGCCTAGGGTCCAGTAGGGAATGGGTCTTCTCCCTGGGGTTCAGTGGCTCCTGTAATCTTCCACTCCCTCATTGCTCCCTTTCACACAGTTTAATGATGTTGGAGCCGGAGTGACATCATATTCCAGCTCCCGGCATTACCACAGAGGGAGCGTGAGGGAGCAGTGAGGACCTGGAATAACATCAGTGCTCCACCGCTGCCCCAGGTAGTTACACTACTACAACCATGCAGATCATACCATCATTAAGATTTGAGTATATTTTAATGGACATTTGGATCATTTGCGAAAAGAATCATTGATTTGAATATAACATGAGTTTTGCAAATAATATGACCTGTGAATTATTTTAAACCATTAAAGAAAGCCATGATGGCTGTAAACATGATATTAATTTACATTCATACATTTACTATACTTAAAAGGACAGTTTAAAGCATTAAGCATAAGAGCAGGGGCAGATAACCTCCAGCACTTCACCTTCTAAGGGCTTTCTTCCAATATGTTTAGAGGGCTGAATGAGCTTTATAGGAGTTAGTCAAACAACAACTGGTATAATAAAGTATTTTGTTTTCTGCTCTTGAAGTCGAGACTTGGAGTCTGTAAATAAACTTAATTTTTTAGTGAAACATGAACATAAATAGCGTGTCTACCAAAAGTCCTTGAACAGATGGTTTTTGCAACTCCCACAAAATCCCAGTTCTCTATGCAGCAGCAACTGTTTTAGAATTTTAAATTGTACAAAAAAGAATACCAGCTGCCTCTGAGAGCATCAATTTGCACAACAATTTGTATACTAACGATAGAGATCAGGAAAAACCTCGCTCAAGGTCAGCCCTCTTTCTGTCTGAATCATACGGTACCCGCAGGTAAAACATTAGCAAAGCTACCTTAATTGTTCACATCTGCGTCAAGGCAACAAAGGAAGATTAAGGCAAATTTTTATCTTGAAATAAAGAACATATTTAAAAAATGTGCCTTAATTTAATACTGTTGGATAACTTTTCCAAATGATTTAAACATTTTGGTTAATAATCTGATATTTTTTATATTTTTTTTTAATAAGTTATATTTTTGTTTGATATTTTAATATGCTGAAAAATTATTTTAAATGTGTATACAAAAATATCAAATCATTTGTAAAGGAAATATAGAAAATATGAGAAAATATGCCTCAATTTAATATTATTGGATAAAAATAGTTGGTTCTGGGACACCTAATGTGTTACACAGGTGTGAGGGAGTAGGACTAGCAGTAGGCCGCTCAGCAAACTGGAAAAGATAGGGATCCACTAAGACCCATAAATGAAATACTGGAGAGAGACACTAGTATTATGTGCAGATACCAGGAGCTGGCCTAGAAGGTGGATAAGATAGGTGGAAATGTGTATGCACAGGAGGATGTGTGTATGATGGTACTGTGTCTTTAAAAGGACTAAAATACACAGGAGAATGTAAAAACAAAATAGATAAATAAAATCAATTGGTTGAAATATGTGGATGAAGGAAAAACATCTTGAAAATAAATGAAACAAACAAATAAATAAATATGTGGATGGATAGATCTAAATCTAAAGCAAAATGTACAGTGCAAGTGCCTCTATTACTGCTATAGAGCAGAATAATTGACACTTGTACCAAATTGTATACTTTGTATTCCGCAAAGATGCAGTAAAAAATAGAAGTTGTAATAATGTAGCAATACAGTATGTAGAACTGTAGGCTAAAAATGTTACACAATGTAACAGCAATCAGTGGAAAGCAATGGTTTTGAAACTGGATAGGAGTAAAAAACCAGTTTATTAGACAAAAGATAAAAACTATGAAAAAATATATATTATTAAAAAATGAATGATAATAATAGATACATAAATACAAAAATGCATAAAAATAAATGAAGATAAAGATAAATTATACATACAAAATAAGCATCCACAATTGTGAAATCATAATTGTCAATAAAAGTATATATACATATATAAATATATAAAAATATATAAATGTTCCAGAAATACAGCATTTTGGTGAACCTAAAAATATGCAAATATATCATAACTATAAAAAGATCCATTGGGATGAATAATAATAATAAAATTTAAGTTAAAAATAATTAATATAAAGTTAATAAAAAAGTTCTTAATTTTACATTTTTAATTATCGTTCATATAATGTTATTTTACTTGCCCATAATACTTTATACTATATAAATTATTTTATTGGATGCATAACAAGTCACATTAAGTAATTAGTTGGATTCATATATAAAGCATTATTGAAGCAATGGTTCTCCATCCGTCCCCGAAGTAGGGGTTCACCTACGAAACGCGTAAGACAATTGGACACACATCAGGATCAAGATCCAACATACACACATCATTTGAAGTCAGTATTTCCTCAGGACCTGTTGGTTTGTTTATCGAATTGGAGCCGTCTACAACACACGCTCTCCCGGAGTGAGGCTCCCGCTGAGGCTCATGCTGAACACACACACTGCCCTCACCGGCGGCATCAGCACAAGCGACAACCGTGAAACTCAATCCATATCCATCCGACAATAATCCGAAGGTCTCTGAATATTTCTGACTTCTATATGACTGGTAATACCTGTATGAATTTTTCCTGATGTATATTTTTTAATAATATATATTTTTTCATAGTTTTTATCTTTTGTCTAATAAACTGTTTTTTTACTCCTATCCAGTTTCAAAACCATTGCTTTCCACTAATTGCTGTTACATTGTGTAACATTTTTAGCCTACAGTTCTACATACTGTATTGCTACATTATTACATCTTCTATTTTTTAGAAACAGGCGAGGTAATTACATCTAACTGTTCGATATATTTGACATGTAATGTAAACAGACTAGGCATAATAAAACATTGCTGTGAGATACAAGGGTAAATAGGGCCAGTTGAGCATGAGATTAAGAGTAAGCATCAAGAGACTATGAGCTGGCTATAGCAAATTGCTGCCCATGAGTCTAAGTAAACAAAGTGCGTAGTAGAAATGCAGAATAAAAAATAAATAAAAAAAATGGTAAATGTAAATCTCCTGAGTGGGGGGTGGAGGGGGTGGAGAAACTCCTCAGGAATAAATCTAACAAGCACAACCAAAAGTCAGGAGTAATCAAGTGTTTACAATATTGTATATTGACCATATTGAGTAAAACAATCTATACCTAATCTGCTGAATAAACTCCGCGTAATTATACATTAATGAAAATGAACTTGCATGGGCCACTGGTGATATTTAGGCCTGTGCAGTATTGTGCTGGATACTGCAGTTTAGATAGAACTGGCGATGGCATTGTTGCATATAGGTAACACTATATACATGAGAATGCTAGGCAGAGTTACATAGTTACATAGGCTGAAAAAAGACAAGTGTCCATCAAGTTCAGCCTTTTTCACATTTGTTTTTTGCTGTTGATCCAAAAGAAGGCAAAAAAAAAAAAAAACAGTTTGAAGCACTTCCAATTTTGCAACAAACTAGGAAAAAAAATCCCTCTTGACCCCAGAATGACAGTCAGATTAATCCTTGGTACAATAAGCATTTACACTACATTGAAAAATTATATCCTTGAATATTCTGTTTTTGCAAGTATGCATCTAGTTGCTGTTTAAACATCTGCACAGATTGTAAAAAAAAAACACTTCTTCAGGCAGAGAATTCCATATCATTATTGTTATTCCGGTAAAGAGCCCTTTCCTTTGCCTTAGACTAAATCTTCTTTCTTCCAGTCTAAACGCATGACATTGTGTCCTATGTAAAGTCCTGTTTGTGAATAGATTTCCACACAATGGTTTGTATTGGCTACGAATATATTTGTATAATGTTATCATATCCCCTCTGAGGCGACATTTTTCTAAACTAAAGGTTTAAATTTGTTAACCTTTCTTCATAGATAAAATGTTCCATTCCTTTTATTAATTTTGTAGTCCTCCTGTGCACTCTTTCTAGTGCCATAATATCCTTCTTTAGAACAGATACCAGCGATTTATAAAGAGGCAAAATTATATTCTCATTCCGAGAATTAATGCCCTTTTTCATGTTTGACATACCTTACTGGACTTAGTCACTGCTGATTGACATTGCACATTGTTGCATAGTTAGTTCTCTATAACAATTCCCAAGTCCTTCTCATGTTTTTTTTTTTATCTCTAATTTGCTTCCATTAAGGGTATAAGTTGCTTGTGCATTCTTGATGCCGAAGTGCATAACTTTGCATTTTTCTACATTACATTTCATCTGCCATTTGGGTGCCCAGTCCCCCAGTCTATCTGAATCCCTCTGCAGTAAAGTAATATCTTGTTCACATTGTATTACGTTACAGAGTTTTGTGTCATCTGTAAACACTGAAACATGACTTTCAAAACTTTTTTTCAAGGTCATTTATAAACATGTTAAATAGAAGGGGTCCCAAAACATAACCCTGAGGGACACCACTTGCCACCTCTGTCCAGCTTGAAAATTTACCATTAAATGCAACTCTCTGTACTCGATTTTTAAGCCAATGTTCTACCAAAGAACAAGAATTTTCATAGAGACTGATTTCTTTAAGTTTGAACACTAATCTATTGTGTGGAACTGTATCAAATACCTTGGCAAAATCCAGATAGATCACATATACTGTCAACTTGCTAATCTAAATAGCTATGAAAGGGATTGCTATGTGGAAGCTAGTAAAGTTGGAGCTCGAGTAAAGTCACCAGACATAGCCAGTCGTAGTCTTTTAGGGGTGCAATATGTTAATTAACGGCATCTAGTGCACTAACAGGTGCTCTGAAGCCAGCAATACCCCTATACCATGGGGCAACGGGGAGGCGGTTATATCGCCCCGAGCATTGGAAGCCATACTTGTGTCTTATGGATACAAGGTAGAGTGGGTCCTATTGACATAGAAAACTGAGGTAAACAAAGATAACGATAACTTATGTAAGATAGAAAACCATAAGAAAAAAAATACTAAGCAAACATGGGAATTACAGGTGGTGAATCGAGCTGTGGAGCCTCTCTCATCTCTGGGCAAAAAGATAGGTATACTATCAACATTCCATGAGAGGGCAGCTAGTCCCGGAGTGGCTATGTTGTGTTAACTTGCTGAGAGATGTTTTGATTGCAGCTGTTGCAACTTTTTGCCAAGAGATGTCACTCCTTTTTTCAGATCTAAGGCATCTTCCTCTGTCACTTGGGTGGGCGCTGTCACAGCCTGCACCTCTGTTTCAGTACCGCCAGGTCAGTTTTCCAGATTTGTTTAAGGTTTTGTTGTAGGCTGGCAAACATGTTTTGGATGTGTCAGTGGAAGCAGGGGCAGAGTCATCCACTGCTTGTGGGGTCTTTCAGCCCATTGTGGTTAGAGCTGGGCTTTGATGTGAGTCCCCTCCATTAAACTGTAGATCTGAGGCCTCCTGAGAGGCCAGAACCTGGGCTGACAAGGGTGGCTGCAGCATTTGGCCTATGTAACACTGCAACACAGGTGTGTGTGGAAGCAGCTTCTCAGATATTCCTCTGATTTCTAGAGTGAAATAACAGTTAAATCCATGTAATTTGTGACAGTGCCACCTGGTTTTCCTGGTACTATAGTGTTAATAGGTCCCCCCACCCTCATGGCCCCCCTCCCGCCTGGCTCTAGGGGGAGGAAGGGGTTAAAGGCTTACCTTTCGCCAGTGCCGGGCTTCCTCTGCGCTGGGGACTCTACTCCCTCTTCCGCCGAATGCGCATGCGCGGCAAGAGCAGCGCGTGCATTCAGTCAGTCCATAGGAAAGCATTCTCAATGCTTTCCTATGGACGCTGGCGTCTTCTCACTGTGAAAATCACAGTGAAAAGCGCGGAAGCGCCTCTAGCGGCTGTCAATGAGACAGCAACTAGAGGCTTGATTAACCCTAATGTAAACATAGCAGTTTCTCTGAAACTGCTTTGTTTACAGCAGGCAGGGTTAACCCTAGATGGACCTGGCACCCAGACCATTTCATTGAGCTGAAGTGGTCTGGGTGCCTATAGTGGTCCTTTAATACAGCAGGTATCGAGCTTAAAAATAGAAGTTTGTGCAACATTCTGAATTCAATCGGGCAGCTGGTGTCACAATGTAATTTTAAGAACACATAAGCTTTTACAGTTGGGCTTAGGGCATCACATGATGAAATTTATTTCTGGACTCATTTATAGTAAATCACAAAGAAACATATTTTCCGTGCACATCTTGCAGAGTAAAACCACCCTAGAACTCTAACCCCCACCAACAAAAATGATTCCAGAACTTCTGAATAGATTAGGTTTATCTCAAAGATAAAACTTTAGTACCATAGTCCTTACTTTCCCATAGTACCACAGATCAATTTGTTCTGATAATTTTTGGAATTTGAATGTTGCATATTTGAAGGCGCTCTTTGTTAACAGCTCCCCACCTTTTCTATTTTTAAATATTATAAGGAGGGTACTAGAAATCGGCATCTCCCTCCTTGTAATATTTAACAAATGAAAGCATGAACTGCATGGACAAAATGTTGTTTAACAGGCAATTTGTTCTTCATTTCACACGAAAACATGTTAGTCCGAAAACGAATGCCAGAGTTTTCTAGTTATCAAAGGCAAAATATTTTCTTTTAAATATCTACTTAAACATGGTTCTTTATGTGTTTATAAATACCATTTTACATGGAAATACATAAAACATTGACATCAGAAATTTATTTTTACATATCCTGAGGCAATTGGAAAAAACAAAAACTACCCTAGACACAATTCATTCTTTTGGGACTCATCAGCATGGCAACAACTTTAGTTTAATGTTAGAAATGCCACTGACAGAACCAAGCTGTGTTATTAAAGTTTTATAATTTGCCTTAGGATATTTAGGATATGATGTACTGTTGTATCTTTGCGCATTACTTAAAACAGTGGGGGGCTTTTGTGAACTTAAGACACCTTCCTATCTTTCTTCTTACAGTCAGACGCTCAGTGTGCCAGAGAGCCGCTGAATGCCTCTGAGTATGACTGAACTGAGACTTTGGCTTTGGCTTTGAAAACAAGGACCTTGAGCGAATTTTTATTTTTATTTTTTTTATTCTTTCATTTTATGTACTATTTATACATTAACAAATAGGAATACTGAAAATGTATTCGAGACCTGGTTTATTATTATAGGGCCGTATCTCTGTAGGATCCAGTTATGCAATATATAAATCTAGGATCTGCAACTTAGTAATGTCCTGCTGCCCTACTTGTCGGATCCACAATTTCTTGGTAAGTGAAAAAATATCCCTACAGGGTACCAGTCAGGACACATACGACTTAATCTTGGGTATTACAGAGTGTAATTTTATGTATGCATTGTGTTAGCAGACATGCTTGTAAATGTCTAGATTTCTCTAAAACCAGCCCTATCCCTCTCCTCTTAGTCAGTTCAATCTGTGCCATACCTGTGCCGAACAGCACAGGGATAACAAGGCTGTGTTCCACGTGTCTATAATCCTCTGGGCATCTCCACTTTAGCATAAGTGAAAGCAATGCCTGCAACTGGAAGTAGGGAGGAGGGGCAAACTCTGTGTGAGAGCAGCAAATAGAGAGGAAACAGCTAGAATGATTTATTGCAGCCGCTTTGGACCGACATTATGAGAATGGAAAGGAAGAACAGATGCATTTTATTTACACAAAGCAATCATAAAGTGTTGGAACCTTTAACCTGTGATGGAACAGCAAGTCTGTGCTTCCCAAATAGGGGTATTCAGGAAAAGTGTGTCTTGAACCAAGTTAACACCCACTGAAAATATGATTGATGCTCTCAGCAGGGGTTTGGTGAAATGGAAATAAATTTAAATATGAGCATTAAAAAGTATTAAGGTAAGAAACACTTAATTGAATAACATGAGTCAAGCCAAGATGGTTAGAAACCTGCAAACCTTTATCTTTCATGACAGGTTCACTTTAATATTAGTAAATGTAAGTAGTTTTATCACGGTTTACATATGAAACTGCAGAATCTTTGCATTGAACAAAAAAAATTAATTTGTTTTCTATAAGAAGGGACTCTGCGTTGCACAGCAGGTCTTAGCCTAGAGGGAAAAAAATCCAAACAATCAGCAGAAATGTAATTGCATGTGCTTATCTTTAATTTATGTACTCAAGAATTTATATTAATATATTTACATAATTAGAGATGTACATAACATAGGAGCAGATATATGTTTTATCGTCTAAATGGAAAAATTAGGGCATCACTATTATGTTCTATTGTCATCAAAACCTTTGCAGTAAGAGTAATTTGTTGTCTATTCTAAATTGATTTCAATTCTTGTAAGGACGGAGGAAATAAATGCTACATAGCAGAAATAAAACTGCTGATAATAAAATCATTTTTTTTTTTTTTTACAAGAAGAAACTTGTGGCTGGTGATGCAGATCTTGACAGTATTACAATTTGAAGGGGTTTTAATGAAATGTCTAATCTTTCATAGAGCCCATCACTTTTGAACACATGTGGAGTTTTGCAAAGAATATTTTATTTATTGAGGACACAATAATTTAATATAATTATTCCTGTTTATATTGATAGAGCACACTGGAGCAGAGATGGGCCCTGTTGATCACTTTCTGCCTCTTAAATTACTCAGATAGTGGTTCAAGAGTGATTGATTAGCTGAGCAGTATGGAAAAAGATCTGGAAAAGTTCAAGGACCACAGTTTGCTTGCCCTCAAAGTATAAACTTGGTTGTTGTGACTAGTGAGAAAACTGAACTTCTTTTTAGATAAATATAAATAAAATAGACTAGACTAATTTGAACACTCCATGGAACCGCAGGGACAATTTGACATGTAAATGAATCTTGAACTTATTGGTATCAGCAACTGTGTTACTCATAGTGGGGCTGTAAATAATTCAGGTAACTTTGTGATAACTCCTGATTTAAGCAGTTATTGGGTTGCACTTACATCTGGTTGAACTGAATAGCATTTTTAAATAGGAGCATACATTGAGGCTTTGAAAATAACTAGTATGTAGATATTTTTTGTACAATATTCAATTTTAATTAAAGAAAGTCTTTGCTGCAGAGAGCTGGTTATTTTTGCATTGATTTTGGCAAGTCTACTAAGATAGTCACTCATTGTGTTGTTTTGTGGTTGTCATTCCCTGCACAATGAGTTCCAGCTTATTTGTTTCATTGTGGAGACATTTTGTTAATAACCCTCCCTGCTCTTGTATTGTCACCCAAACAAAAATGTCTATTTGAATCTTACTTTTTAAAATACTGTGAAAACATGCAGTTTAAATTGCATATTTTCCCTGAGTAAACACCTAAAAGCATAGCTAGAGCTTTTGCCGCCCCTGAGTTTGCCGCCCCTATCTAGAACAACGTCATGTCCAGTGCAGTGGCGGACGTCCGTGTCTGCACCAGACATACTTCTTTTAAGTACTCAGCGCCTCTAGCCCAACACAGTTTACAACCTTTTCAAGCTTTTTTAAGATGTACACCCAATTAATACATGCATGAAAAATTCATACATGTAATTCATTGAGGGCATATCTACTAAACAGTGATTTTAGGGGGGGGAGGGGAGCGGTTTGCTCATTTGGGCAGAGTGTTCCTTTAAATAATTGTTACTGAAGCGCTTCAGTATATTTAATTTTTTATTGGTGTGAAAAGAAACACTTAGGAGTTAAACACAGCTTATTGAATTGTCTGGGTGCAGGGGAGGCAGGGGGAGAGGGGATCTGTGCAGGGGAGGGAGGGGGCTGTCAGGGAGACAGGGGATCTGTGCATGGGAGGGAGAAGGACTGCCAGGAAGCAAGGGAGGCAGGGGATTTGTACAGGGGAGTGAGGGGGGCTGTAAGGGTGGAGGGGGAGAGGAGATCTGTGCATGGGGATGGAGCGGAGAGGGGTTCTGTGCAGGGGAGAGATGGGATCTGTGCAGGAGAGGGGGAAGAGGGGATCTGTGCAAGGGAAGGAGGGAGAGGTTATGCAAGGGGAAGGAGGGGCGAGAGGGCATCTGTGCAGGGGAAGGAGAAGAGAGAGGGGGGATTTGTGCAAGGGAGGGAAGGGAACTGTAAGGGAGGCAGGAGGAGAGGGGGTTCTGTGCAGGTGAGAGAGGGGTCCAGTGCAGGTGAGAGAGGGGTCCTGTGCAGCTGAGAGGGGGGTTCTGTGCAGGGAGGGAAGGGGGAGAAGAGATCTGTGCAAGGGGAGGGAATCTGTGCAAGGGAAGGAGGGAATCTATGCATGGGAAGGAGGGGGGGCTCTGTGCATGGGAGAAATGAGGGAGAGGGGATCTGTACAGGGGATGGAGGGGTGACTGTCAGGGAGGCAGGATGGAGTGGGGGAGGGGATCTGAGCAGGGGAGAGAGGGGAACTGTCAGGGAGGCAGGAGGAGAGGGGGTCTGTGCAGAGGACTGTAAGGAATGCAGGGGAGACGGGATCTGTGTAGGTGAGAGAGGGTAACTGTTCAAGGGAGTGAGGGGGACTGTCAGGGTACAGGGGGAGATGGGATCTGTCAGGGGGAGAGAGGGCTTCTGTGCAGGGGAGGGATGGGGAGAGGGGATCTGTGCGAGGGAGGGAGAAAAGGGATATGTGCAGGGGAAGGAAGGGGAGAGTGGATCTGTGCATGGGAGAAATGGGGGAGAGCGAATCTGTGCAGGGGATGGAGAGGGACTGTAAGTGTGGCAGGGGAGAGGAGATCTGTATAGGGGATAGACGGAAACTGTCAGGGAGGCAGTGGATGGAGGGGGAGAGGGGGTCTGTGTGGATGAAGTGAGGAGGTGGTTGCCCAGGGAAGCGCATACCTGGTGTCTCTGCCAGGCTGCTTCTCCTCTTCATTCCATTGGACAGGATGCACAGGAAGTGATTTCACTTCCCATCCCTCCAGTCCCCCGTCTTTCCCTCACTCACTGCACCGCATGGAGGAGACCTGGCAAGTAGAGCAGAAGGTGGGAGGAGGGCCCTTGCAGCCCCCAAAGAAGTGTCACTCCTCACAATCACAATAATATTAAATAAGTTTAACTTACCTTTATCCAGCACTGGGCAATGCTCCTGGTGTTTCTTTCAACACCCCTTCCTGATGTCACAGCAAATCAAAGGCTTCCCATAGAGAAGTGTTTGTTTGGACCATTTAGCCACCTCAGAGAAACTGGAGTGGAGAGAGAGTGGGGAGAGAGAGAAAAAAATTAAAAATAATGTGGATGGGATAGGAAGTTGGGAGAGAAGGGAGGGGACACACAAGACTCCCTTTGCTGGCAAAACAGGCAGTGTGCACTGATAACAAATGTAAAATATGCACAGCATTAACATTGGTAATGCAGAACTGCTGTAAATCTTACTTGCGCTCTGGGTGCAACTTGCTGTGTGTCAGTATGTCTGTCAGTGTTGTCCATATACGTGTCAGTATTTGTCTTTGTGTGTCAGTATGTATGCCAGGGTGTGTGTCAGCATGACTGTCAGTGTGTGTGTGTCAGTAGGTCTGTCAATGTGTGTATGTCTGTGTGTGTCAGTACAGGGAGTGCAGAATTATTAGGCAAGTTGTATTTTTGAGGATTAATTTTATTATTGAACAACAACCATGTTCTCAATGAACCCAAAAAACTCATTAATATCAAAGCTGAATATTTTTGGAAGTAGTTTTTAGTTTGTTTTTAGTTTTAGCTATGTTAGGGGGATATCTGTGTGTGCAGGTGACTATTACTGTACATAATTATTAGGCAACTTAACAAAAAACAAATATATACCCATTTCAATTATTTATTATTACCAGTGAAACCAATATAACATCTCAACATTCACAAATATACATTTCTGACATTCAAAAACAAAACAAAAACAAATCAGTGACCAATATAGCCACCTTTCTTTGCAAGGACACTCAAAAGCCTACCATCCATGGATTCTGTCAGTGTTTTGATCTGTTCACCATCAACATTGCGTGCAGCAGCAACCACAGCCTCCCAGACACTGTTCAGAGAGGTGTACTGTTTTCCCTCCTTGTAAATCTCACATTTGATGATGGACCACAGGTTCTCAATGGGTTTCAGATCAGGTGAACAAGGAGGGCATGTCATTAGATTTTCTTCTTTTATACCCTTTCTTGCCAGCCACGCTGTGGAGTACTTGGACGCGTGTGATGGAGCATTGTCCTGCATGAAAATCATGTTTTTCTTGAAGGATGCAGACTTCTTCCTGTACCACTGCTTGAAGAAGGTGTCTTCCAGGAACTGGCAGTAGGACTGGAGTTGAGCTTGACTCCATCCTCAACCTGAAAAGGCCCCACAAGCTCATCTTTGATGATACCAGCCCAAACCAGTACTCCACCTCCACCTTGCTGGCGTCTGAGTCGGACTGGAGCTCTCTGCCCTTTACCAATCCAGCCACGGGCCCATCCATCTGGCCCATCAAGACTCACTCTCATTTCATCAGTCCATAAAACCTTAGAAAAATCAGTCTTGAGATATTTCTTGGCCCAGTCTTGACGCTTCAGCTTGTGTGTCTTGTTCAGTGGTGGTCGTCTTTCAGCCTTTCTTACCTTGGCCATGTCTCTGAGTATTGCACACCTTGTGCTTTTGGGCACTCCAGTGATGTTGCAGCTCTGAAATATGGCCAAACTGGTGGCAAGTGGCATCGTGGCAGCTGCACGCTTGACTTTTCTCAGTTCATGGGCAGTTATTTTGCGCCTTGGTTTTTCCACACGCTTCTTGAGACCCTGTTGACTATTTTGAATGAAACGCTTGATTGTTCGATGATCACGCTTCAGAAGCTTTGCAATTTTAAGAGTGCTGCATCCCTCTGCAAGATATCTCACTATTTTTGACTTTTCTGAGCCTGTCAAGTCCTTCTTTGACCCATTTTGCCAAAGGAAAGGAAGTTGCCTAATAATTATGCACACCTGATATAGGGTGTTGATGTCATTAGACTACACCCCTTCTCATTACAGAGATGCACATCACCTAATATGCTTAATTGGTAGTAGGCTTTCGAGCCTATACAGCTTGGAGTAAGACAACATGCATAAAGAGGATGATGTGGTCAAAATACTCATTTGCCTAATAATTCTGCACTCCCTGTATGTCTGTCAGTGTGTGTCTATGTCTGTGTGTCAGAATGTCTGTCAGTATATGTGTCTGTATGTCTGTCAGTAAATGTGCCTGTATGTGTGTCTGTATGTCTGTCAGTAAATGTGTGTGTGTGTCTGTATGTCTGTTAGTATGTTGTGTATCTCAATGTTGTCATTGTGTGTATCTGTATGTTGTTATTGTGTGTATCTGTGTATCTGTATGTTGTCAGTATATGTATCTGTGTGTGTATATCTGTGTGTCTGTATGTAGTCAGTGTGCATACAGTTGCAAGAATAAGTATGTGAACCCTTTGGAATGATATGGATTTCTGCACAAATTGGTCATAAAATGTGATCTTATCATCATCTAAGTCACAACAATAGACAATCACAGTCTGCTTAAACTAATAACACACAAAGAATGAAATGTTGCCATGTTTTTGTTGAACACACTATATAAACATTCACTGTGCAGGTGGAAAAAGTATGTGATCCCCTAGACTAATGACATCTCCAAGAGCTAATTGGAGTAAGATGTCAGCCAACTGGAGTCCAATCAATGAGATGAGATTGGAGGTGTTGGTTACAGCTGCCCTTCCCTATAAAAAACACACACCAGTTCTGGGTTTGCTTTTCACAAGAAGCATTGCCTGATGTGAATGATGCCTCACACAAAAGAGCTCTAAGAAGACCTACGATTAAGAATTGTTGACTTGCATAAAGCTGGAAAGGGTTATAAAAGTATCTCCTTGCTGTTCATCAGTCCACGGTAAGACAAATGTCTATAAATGCTTACTTCAGCTCCACTCTGAGTCTAAAAAAAATCAAGCATAAGAAAAATAGTCTCTACTTAGTCTTGTGTATTTTTGTTAGAAATAGATGAAAAATTTAAAAAAAAAAAAAAGAGAGTAGGAAAGAGGAAGAGGATAGGAAGCGACTGAGAGCCGGTAAGTATGGCAATGATAATGTCACTTTAAGGACATCTGGGTATGTCAAGATTTTAGGGTGTCTGCTCTCCATGCTCCCTGGTTGAATGACTACAGCACGGGGCTTGGTTAGCTAGAAACACTGTGTCTTTCCTTTCCCTTATTCCCTTGCCCAGCCACAGTGCATTTTTTCTATAATTTCTCCTGATGTATTTTGGGGGATTGAGTGCAGATCAAACTTGTCCTGTGTGAATTATCATTTAATCAATGGGAGGATTTCAGCACTGAGAAGGTAACTCTGTTATTGCACATATTGAACTGCTATAAGTATGATGAAAACCAGTATATATGATAGAAGACATTTAAATATATAAAGGGAATCAACACAGTAAAGGAGGAGACTATATTTAAAAGAAGAAAAACTACCACAACAAGAGGACATAGTCTTAAATT